CTGGTATGCTTCGTTCGGTTACGTATTGCTATTCGCCCCCTGTTGCCATCGCCTCAAAATGTACGAAAATATGTACATTAAAATTTCTTTTCGAACTCGAATGGAATTGTGATTCAAATTTTATCTCCATCAGCAACTTGTTTGATGCACTCCGTAAAAACATAGTGATGCATGAACTTCCAGACGCTGGATTAATACCTATTATTTAAATTAAAAATATATGTATTCTATACCTAAATTAATCAAAATTACAAGGTACCTATTTTATAAATTTTAAATAATTGTATGCTGTATAATATAATTTATACAATGAATTTGGTATAAATGACATTACCTATTTATTTATTGTATACATTTGTTTTATAAGTTTATATTATAAATAATAAATATTATGTTATGATTATAAATAGAACAATATACAATAATAACTATGTGTAATATTACGTGGTATATTATATTGTTATCTAATGTGTTGTTTTATTTTCAATACAATGATGCGATTTTACCTATGTAATATATTAAGCTTAAATAAGATATCAAACACGTTTATGACTATAAACATAAATTATTAGTTAGATAGCATAAAGATTATTAAGGTTGATATAAGATAATCGGCGTCATAGCCGCAACTAGAGCTTGTGGCTAGTGCAAATTTATTATGAACCCCCTCTTAAAGGGATTTTGTAATAACTCAATTTTATTACCGTAATAATTTATATTTATAATTTTCTAAATATTCTTATTTTTTAAACATTAAATCTTCATTATTGTAGAGTATGGATTAATAAATTACTTACTTTTGTAATCTCAACTTAATTTTTAAGCATTTATACTGTAATGACTAATGACTAATGAATGTCATAAATTGTTATCATAAAAATATTAAATATTTTAACAAGTAAATAAAATATTATAAAACTTCTTACAAGATGTGTCTTTTTACACACATTCGCAATATAAGCTAAATATTAAGTACTAAATATGAACAACCTTGCTGACAGAAAAAACATATTTAAAATTATTATTATTATTAATTCTTATTAGTTATTTATAGATTGGTAAATGACTACATAAATTGTGTTAAAACCGCTTAGTTCTATACATTTTTATGTCCCTCAATGACAAACCAGGAATTACTTATACCTTTCACAATCACTTGCACAGGACTAACAATATGTATAAAAAAATGCACCTTTAAATAGATCCACTAAATTAGCTAATGATATCCAGATTAATTATTTAAAACTTTCACACTATTGAATCTTTTTGTGACTACATATATTACTAAATATTATCAATAAACACATTTTTGTTTCTATTTCTCAAATTATTGTAAAATTATTATTTCTTTATTGTTTCTCCTTTTGATTTATATATGTAACTCTTTATAATTATTTGTAACCGCAATTATTATTACACATATTATAAAACATTGAGCTCTAGCCTGTTTAAATAACAATAAATAAATAAATAAGTAGAGAGTTATAAGTATAACTTACTTAAAACTTCATAATATATATATTACATACTTATCGGATAAAATGTACTTTTTTATATCAGTGGAAAAAGTAGGTACACAAATTAGTAAACATTAAAGTATAAAATATTTTAATAAACAAAAAACAAAATTTACTTGAATATATTATTAATTTTAAATTACAAATTAATAAATTATTGTTATTTTAAAAAGTTCTTTTTTCGAGCTTTTTTGTTGGCGAAATTGTCAATTACTTGATTTATATTCAAATCTTGAGTTCTGTTACGTTCAATATTTAGTATACTGATATTTGTAAGTCTATCTTGTGCCATAGAGTTTCTCAAATAATTTTTTATAATTTTGAGCTTGGAAAAAGAACGTTCTGCTGATGCTACTGTGACAGGTAATGATGTAAAAATTACACAAGCAGTTAAAACATCTTTGTACAGAGATCCTAAATCATTTTCTAAAATACATTTTGCTAGTTCTTTAATACTTTTAATTTTTGAGAGTGAATCAGTTAATATTTCTTTTATTGATAATACTTGTCTTGTAAAATCTGAACTTATATCTTTTTCATAAAATATAATAAAGTCATATGTTGCCTTAACAAGATTTTCTTCACTAAATTGTAACATATTTTGTGGTTGTAAAAAGTTAAACTTATCAACAACCTCTTGTAAACCTAGAAAACGATATTTAAGTTGTACTAAAGCTGTATCAATTACAGGCAAAAATACTTTAACTTTGAGATTTTCTTGTGTTATATCATGTCGTTTATCTCCATCTAAATCACCAAAAAACGTTTTAGAAAATACTTTTCGTTTTGTAATGTTATTGACTGGTATGCCCCAACTATTACACAAGTCTGTGGCTGAATTAACAAGACACTCATAATTATCTCTTAGATTTTCAATGGATGTAACAGCCGATTGTAAATATTCACATGCAATATGAAGATTTGTTTCGATTGATTGCATTTTCTTGGAAACTAAATAAAACGGTCTTAAAATCTGTTCCCATATAAAAAGAATTAATACAAATTCAAAAGATTCAAGTTTTTTTTTGAGACCTTTAGCTCTATTATTTTCTTCTTTTTTATCACTGGTTAAAATTATACTTGTTAATGATTTTAATACATCTTTGTACCGAAATTTCAGGGCAAAAACTGCATTATGTCTTGACTCCCATCTGGTGGTACACACTTTTTTTAATACAATTTTTGCAACATCATCGCCTAAGGCCAAAGTTGCCCATCTAGGAGCACTACTGCTAAAAAATAAAAACAAATCTTGAACAATGTTAAAAAAGTTTAACATTTTTGGTGTACTTTTTGCCATATCTGATAACACAAGATTCAAATTGTGAGCAGCACAATGTACAAATGACGCATTAGGAATTATGTCTGAAATTCTTTTTTGAACTCCTGAGAAACAACCACTCATTACAGAGGCACCATCATAACCTTGGCCCCTGCATTTACTAATATCCAAGTTGTGAGTACTTAAAACTGATTTAATTAAATTAACATGTCCTTCAGCATCATGTTTATCTAAGGGATAAAATCCTAAAAATGATTCTTTGATTTCCAACTTAGATTCTTTATAATCAACAATTGTGTATCGAAAAATAAAACTAACTTGGTCAATCTTGGTTATATCTTGCGTAGAATCAATTATGATAGAGAAACATTGAGCTGATCTGATTTCTTCACATATCAATTGTTGCAAGTTAGTAGCTAATATTTCAATTAATTCGTTTTGAATTTTCCAACTCAAATATTTAACTTGTGATTGTTCAGTGAGTAGTAAGCTATTTAACACAGGATCAAACTCAGCAAGAAGTCTAACAGTTCGAATAAAATTTCCTTCAGATGGAGAAGTTTCAGACAATTTTCTTTCATTGCCTCGTAGGGCAGTGTTTCCTGCAGTTAAAAATAAAATTATTTTTATCAAACGAGTTAAAATGTCCCTCCATTTCTGAGCTTCTTTAGATATTAAAATTTCAATTGATTGATCAATTGTTAAATTTTTTGTCCAAATTGTACGTAATTTAACAGCTTCAATATGCTGAATAGATGATTCGTGTTTATTAATTTTCAGTGTTAAATGTTGCCAGTCGTTAATTCCGTTTATCCAATTTGATTTGAAATAAGAATGTTTTCTATCCGCAAACAACCAACACGATTCACAATATACTTTGTCAAGTATAATAGAATAACAGAGCCAGCCTCGGGGTATTTTTTGGCCAGACAAATTTGTAGTAAAATAATATTCGACAGAAAATTTTCGGCTTTTGCTGTCTTCACTGTCTTCGAAATACATGGTACTAAGCGGAAATTTTATATTTGGTTTGCAAGGACCAAATGAAATTATTTGTCGTTTTAAATTGGAATTTTTAATTATGTCAGGAAACTTTCCACGATCAGTCGGAAATTCACAATTCAAATCCAAAGAAAAATCATCAGAAATACCTATAATAGAAAATTAAATAAAAAGACTAAATTATTGTTTTTATATAATATTAAATATTAATTGTCTAATTACAAATTTTAAATTAATTGAGAAAAATCTATTTAAAAAATAATATAAAATTAATTCTTGATATAAATTAGTAAATAGTGAAATTGATCAGACTAGGGAGTACGATTAAATAATGTGCTTAGTATTTGCATTTGATCAATTCTAAAATTTAGTAAAATTGTTTTAAATTTATAAATATAAATACTGGTGGGCAAAATAGGTAGTACCTATAGGTATAGGTACTACCTATAGCCTATAGGTATATGCCTATAGGTACCTTTAGACATTAAAAATATAAAACAGTTTACAGTAAGTTTAATTAACAATTAGTAAGATACGAAATCAAATATTATGTTATAAATAAAACAATAATTATTCAATAATTGAATAAATAAAAACTTTGAAAATAAATTCTAAACTTACCAAAATTTGATTCCATATTAGGCGACTCAACAGTATTTTCTTTCAATGAGTTTATAATTTTAAAAGTTGAAGATAATTCACTACCTAAAAATTATCAAATATTAAATTAGCTATTCATAAAAATTTAATTTAATTTTCAGATCCACAAAATTAAGTTAACTTTAAATTGATATGTTAAGTAGATGTAATATGCAAACCTATATGTGTAAATTATTACATTTGAGATAAAATATATTTAAAAAATAAATTATAAATAAACTTTATTAGTATTAATGAATTTTAATTTTTTAATACACTCATTATAACACAGCTTTTAAGAGTTAAATATTGAGTACAATTGCACAATAGATACTACAATAATTAATTATGATCAAATTTACTCAATATGGAATTTTCTACATTATTTAAATTACATTTCCTTTTTAATAATTTCATAAATAATAACTTACCACTATTCAGTTCAATGTTATTTTCAAAATCATTTTCATTCAACAAATCTAAAATCACTTTTTCTGAACTCTGGTCTTTCAATGCTTCATCTTCTAAAATAATAAATCAATAGGTAATTTATTCATAACAGGAAAAAATGGACATGGCAAGTAATATTTACCAGAAATATTTGTTTTTCGTAGAAATTTGTTCATAGAACCTCTCATGAGATTCAGATTTTCAGTCTTTTTTCTTTTGCTTTACGTTTTTTAGAGCCACTTTCGTAAGTTCTTTTTGATGACATATCAAAATATAAAAATAATAAACTTCACGGAAAAAGAAATAAAAAACGTCAAATAAAATAAAACAAAAATCTTCAAGACTGAAGACAGCAAACTGCAAGAGTGCAATATTATACAAAGGAGTGATCGGTTTGTCACGATTTTGATAGGAACTATCTCTCTCGAGTCATGAGACATTAATAAAAACACTAGTCAATAATCATAAGCTAATGATATTTACACGTATCAATTTTGCAGTCGAACTAGGCGCATCTATAAATAAAACAACATACGGAAAAAGTCCACTAGTGATAAGGCACGAGCAACTGAGCAATACAGTGTCAGTGTGCATACTGCATAGTAATCTATTAATAAACTTTATTATATTATTATAACGTACAAATATACAATATCCAGTGACCTCCAGTAAACTCGGTTATCGGTGTCCCCAATGATAATTGATACTTATAATATTATTTTATTCTTGTAATTGTATTACTCTATGGGTTGATATATTCCCACACTTAAATATAATTATCAAACAAACATTTTTTTGTTTTTGGGGGCCCCACTTAAATGGAAAGGAGGCCTATTTGGGGGTGCTACGCACCCCCGGTCCCCCCGCTAGTTGCGGCACTGGGTTTACCGAGAAATGTAATATTTTTTTCAATTCTATTCGTTCTCTTATTTTTTTTTTCATCTGTTTTCATGAATGTTTTGGTCGACAAACTTTGCCGACCAAACAATATAATAATTAATAACAATAGTAACCATTGTTGTTTCAGTTTCACCAGCTAATGGACATTGATTTCATTCAAATGTGCCACAGTATCGCTATACTCTTCATTTATGTAACAAATATATACATAATACATGTATACTGTAATCGACTCTTAAAGTTGTTAGTAATATGTATTATATATAATAATTATCATAATATTAGAATCACTTACTTACATTTTCAAGAGCTGTTTGAATAGTTATACCTTATAACTAAGTTATACGTAATTTATAAAATGCATAATATATATTTTATTTTAATAATACTTATTGATTTTATCGGTTATCGGTTAACTATAAATTGTTTAATTATTTAGATAAGTGAAAATTAAAAATTCGATTTTACCTATATGATTTATCGTAAGACTTTTTTTTTTTTTAATTTAAATACAATTTCTTAATTTTCAGAGGGTGTAGCTAAAATACTTGGATTTCTGCAGGTACATAATCCACTCGCATACTATAAGCTTTTTCAATGAATATAAATTTACATTGATTTCAAACCAATCCTTTATAATAGTTATATAAATTCATATTCATACTTAATAATTGTCTAAAATAAAAGCAATAAATATACTTTTAAATACGAAATTAATACGTCTGAAAAAGATATCAATATTTTAATCTTAAAATAAATTTAAAAAGAAATCGTTTAATTTACAACATGCAATTGTTTGTAATACTAAACTGTGTAAACTGTATATAATTTTTTTTCAAATCTTGTTTATAAGTAAATTATTGTCTTTTATATTTTTTATGTACAATTTAATGACAACATCATATTGTCATATTATAATAACTAATAAGCAATGAAATAAACTACAAAACGAAAAGAATACATAAATAAATAATTGTTTATAGCAATCTATATAAAAGAACTATGTATGTATATAAAATACTAAGGTGTAAATAATTTAAAAAAAAAGTATAATACACGCTATGCAGTTAATATAAATAAACCTAAAAGTCGAAATTATACTGAACACTGCTTTTCAAATGGTGACGTTCATCTGTATTTATCATAGTTTACTCATTTATCGCGTCTTTTATTGCGAATCTCTTCTTTTACTCAGCAGTTAAAATTTAATATCATTTAGTATAAATGTTGGTTCTAAATGATAAAAATATGATATATTATGTAAATGATAAAAAATCTTTGATTAGATTTTGGTATATTTGAATTATTCGACTTGAATTTCATATAATATTACAATCTATAGTCAAAACTTGATATTTTATTAATCGGTGACGTGAACACTATATAATTCGTGTTCTATAATATATCTAAATATTTAACTATAACTATAATAATATAATGTAAATGTGTGTGGGTGTGTATTTATTTTTGCGCTATGAGAAAATAGTACAGATAGTTTTAAAAAAATTGCAACATCTACTACTGCAGAGAAATTGTGGTTGTACAGACTACAAGGTGATACTTTTATCACTGAACAGTAATTTTTTATAGATGAACTTTGAAACAGGTATATCTCACAAAATTTGTCTGCACTTATTTCACTGATTCAAACTAAAAAAATAAATATGAATAATTATTATCTATAATTAGGTTTGATATCTGAATTTTATGCTGAAAATATATTCAGGTTATAGGGATAGAAATTTAAAACTAATGTTATCATTTAAAAATTTATAAAACTCTTAACTAATCAACTAAAATAAAACTGATTTTTTTCAAAAATATTGTTAATAATTGAAGCATAATACGTTAAAAAAGCCGTATTTTCCAAATATACGTATATATAGTATAGTACCTATCTACCGACCACAGATGACTGTTTCATCGTCATATCACTTTCTATATGCTCGTGTTTATAAAACATTGTTTTTATAATCGAATTCGACTGAAAAATTGTCATCTGCAATCTACTCCGTGACTGTCGCGAACGGATCGTATAATGTAGGACGTAGGTACATGTTACATACTACGATATTCTGCAGATGTGCAATTTATATTAAACTTGAATTAAATATGAATAATAATAATAAGAAAGATAATAAACATAAAATACATTCCAATTTCATTCATAATTATTAGAATATCACTTTTTATTGAATTTACTTATTCCAAATCATTTTACAAGTAAACTTTTGGTATTGTTTATTATTGTTTATTGATACGGACTGTTATTCGTAATGGCTTACAAATGGAGTACGTATATTAGCAAGGGGTAAAGTTAGATTTTTGGAAGGGCTGTAGTTTCCAATTCCCATTCCCGAAATGGTACAAAAATCAATCGGATAACGTGAAAAGTGAGAAAACCATTTCATTGTCCTGTTTACCGAGATTCGTTGGCGTTATAAATGTAAGACTACATTTTTCACCAAGCTGGCTCGGTCACGATCAAACTACGGGTACTCAGATAGCATATATGTTAGCAATGTTAGAATTACAAAAAAAAAAAACTTTTTCGGTTAGCACAGTTTTCTTTTTTTTTACAGTCAAGAAAAAATGATGTAGGTGCCCAGCCAGTGACATTATTTAGTTTTTATTCGAAGCCATGTCTGCGGATAGCTATTTCCCTACACGATTGCTGCAATGAGTAACGCACTAGTTGATTTTATAACAAAATATTATTTTTTTCCTCCACGCGCCTTCCGATTGTACAATTCTATCTACCAAGGCGCGGAAATTGAATTCCGTATACGGCAGACGACGGAAAGCGTTTATTCAAATCGTTTGGTGAAATGAAAAGCGAAAATGTGTGTACCACTCTCGCGGGTCGAGCGGTACAAAACAATATTATAATATTATTATTATCACGTTACGATAATGCGTTATTATAACAATATAACCGACCGGAGGTGCTCGCGCGTCCCACTATGATGACGGCGATGACGGTACCTAACCGTCTTCGTGTGCACATAAAAAGTCTCCAACAGGAGAATAAAAGAAAAATGTGTATTTACCGTGGAGGCTGCGACGCGTAGAGTACCGAGAAACATGAAAAGCACTAATCTCGAGTGGCGACCGCTGTGGTGGCATTGTACGCACACGATATTATTAAATACGCGTTTTTTTTCCGTCCATTTCCATTTGCCTCGTACATATATATATATACAGCAACGGGTTAATGAAGGCAGACGTCACCGTCGCCGCCGCGCCGCCAACATCGTCCCACAGTCATGCCCTGACGTTATAATAAAATACAATATTATTTCCTATCGACTATGTGCAACATTCCCGTTCCGTGTTTACTCGACCACCACCTCCACACCGCCGATCGGCTACACCCACCGTGACACCATTATTTCTCCTACTCAAACGTCACATATGAATCTACCACACTACGTTTAATCACTGTAAACGGAATATTATATTATTTTATTGTGTGCGCGTACCGAGATTTTCGTTCGATAATGTTTATTTTTATAATAATTATCGTTGAAAACTCGAGTATTCTTTTACTTTCAACGTAATATTATATATATTATTTTATTAGTATTATTCTTTTTTTCCACGCGCATTTGATTTCTCTCTCTCGCTCTCACAATCGTGCACCGAAACACGCGGGCATCTACGCCGCGATCACATTTTACTATAGTATTGCTGCGCCGGCCGGTTGTCAATCCAGTTTTAACGCGGCCGTCGCCATCGGGCGATGAATGAAAGGAATGACTGACATCTGCCTTTTGTTGTTTGGAACGGCGGTGGCGGAGGTAGGAAAACCTCTTCCATTATGTATGTGGCGTAGTATTATATAGGTAGCCCCCTCGCATGGTAACCATCCTGCCACCAATACTCACCCACCACAAACTACCGACCATCGATTCCATCGCACGCACACCGACCAGAGTTATACCTATATTGCAATGAATGTATACACTCGTGTGTGTGTGTGAGTGTGTATAATGTAAATAAATGAAGCCAATTTTGCCAAAGCACACCATTTATAACAAAGCATTCTATGTTTTAATGTACATTAGCGGTGGGGTGAAGTGCAAGTGGTTCATGGGATTCGATGTCCCAAGATTCCGCTTATATGTCATATAATATACATAATATACGCGATTTACGATATTCTACCCTCCTTACAGAACCGTGCACTTTTTCCAAATCACTTATCCGTACATTGTATATTTATGAATTCCTTGGACACATGCATTTACACAAAGACAGGTATATCTAATACATATGTATTATAATCTTAGTGTATTACACACACACACACACACACACATGTAGACACACCCGTACTGCACACGTATACAAATTCTGTAATACGTTGGTATGGTACATATTTATAATCCAAAAGTGTATCGTCAATGTTGTTATTGTTTAGTATATCAGTGAAATAATAATTAGTAGTAAAAATATAATAACGTAAGTATACACAGTTGCAACTGCAGTATTGTAATGAGTGTGCTCGAATAATACACTGATATAATAATAATCGTATGTTTGATAATAATGGCTGCATACGCATGTGTACATTGTTCGCACTACGAAAGTTCTGATAATTAATATTTTAAAATTCAATAAGAGTCACGTAGTAATAAAATATATAGTATAAAAATGTTTATTTCAAACGTTTATTCTTTATTACCGTTTTTTAATTCGTACTTACCACACAATATGGATATCCGTTCAATCATTATTGTCTTTGCACATACACACATAAAAGCATTCACATTGCAAGCGCTTGTTTTTTTGTTAAGTGTTTTTGTAACAATATTAATACATCACATTAGCGACGAGGGTGGTGTAGAAGGTAATTGAATTGTCATTATATAATTTATATAAATGCATACTACATAATATTATATATAATGAGTACTACCTACCGTCAAATGAGAGACAAACTCTGTCTCGTTCGTAGAATGTTTTGTGGGTCGTATAGTCGTATTTATAGTATATTATCATACTATCGTGTGCGCGTTCTGGATGTTATTTAAACAAGGCCTGAGCATTAAAAACAATTTTGGTAACCTTATATTTTACAATGTAGATAATCAAATCATCTGAGCATTGAAACCTTGATACATGTTTTTTTTTATTATTATTCATATCAAAACGTACTTTGTAATGGATTTTAATTGATTTTAAATTTTTTACTTTGTACTTTAGAAAAGTTGTTTTTAATGTTTCAGTATGAATTGAAATCAATTTGGGATAATGACCGAGAACTTGCAATTATTTTAATACATCAGGTTTTTAGCTTTTTATGTTTATAGTTTTGTACAGAAGTGTTTGGTTGTAGTTTATGTATTAACTCAATAACAACGTTTAACGTTTATCAATTAAAATTAATTTCTCAGGTAGGTATGTTACAATAAATTAAATCTTATTTTTAATTTGCAAATATTATATACTAATAATATTATATTAGGCATATTATTTACCACATGAAATAAATTTAATTATTTAGAACCCATTTACCCATTTCATAATGTTTAATTATTAAACACCAAAATGTGTATATTGTATTTTTATTGTAAAATATCTTTCTATGAAAAAATTAATTGTCAGTAAAACGTTTACAAGTTTCGTAATTTTTTATTTTTCCATTATTAACTTCATTTCATTTAAAATGATACATTATAATTAAACAATTTTAATGCATAATATTTATTAATAAAATGTGTTAAATATAATATTATGTTACTAGTAGCCGTGTTAGTATTGTCAAAATTGTACACAATAAATATATTATATACTTTTCAATACACTATTCGAGTATAATATAATTTATAATTGCATTGTGTTATTAAAAAAATCCCAATTCATCGTTACATTAATAATATACTATAATATTATTGTACAAAGCGTCTTAGTATAATTTTTATTTATTATTACATAGTTATATTTGGCAGTTATATTGTTAATATAAAAATTAAAATATAGATAAATTATTATTATAAATATTTATATTTTTATTAAAATTACATAAATGATTTATAATATACAATGCAATGAGTATAGTTATTATTATTAATATTTATTTTTCAATCAATATTCGCATTATTATAAAATAGATTATAAGCTAAATTTTATACAGAGTACATCTTAATGCGTATGTCGTTGCAAATGTGGTTTTAAATGAATAAAACTTGATAGTATGAAATTCAAAAAATATAAATAAAATATTTCTTAATTTTTTTTTCACATTTTATTTTGTCAACATATTGTTTAATAAAAAGCGACACAAACACAAAGAACTTGTTAAGCACAAATATGACGTAGTATGCTGCGCCTTATTATGTGTAAATTTTTCATATCAAATAAAATAAAATATTATACGCATGAACTTATGTCAAGCTATTGAAAATTTATAGATAAAAATTCTGATTTTGTGGAAAAATAGCTAACGTTCTGTCGCATAAAATTTATATTTTTCAATTTTTAATTTTTATTATTAAAAGCAACTATACCTACATCAATAATGTATGTTTAATAGATAAATTGTATAACTATACTATATTTATGTACAAACTGTAAGACAATAGTATTACTTTTTAATGACGATTTAGAATAGTGGAATTATATGGATTATGGGGAAAAAAATATTAACAAGCAAAAGAGTCACTTGCTGCTTTTAAATAGTAACACTCGAACACAATATAATTAAAATACAAGAAGTGATGACTGATAATTAATTACAAAATATCTATCATAAGTAGATAAAGCATTGAGAACTATAGTGAAAATAGGAAAAAGATTTTGAATTACTTTATCTGCGTAAAATAGAATATTAAATTAAAAAAAGAAACGCATTATATTTGAGTACTTAGGTACTTTATTGTGGTTATTATTTTTTTATGTAATCATCCACTTCATGTTGTCGTTATTATTATCCATTTATATTATATTTTAGAATTTTTAGATTATATTTTGTTTATGGTTATTTGATCTTGATATTAAAATTAGAAATATTATTATTTACACGGTTGGATATTATTTTAGTGCATTGATATGTAAGAAATGGTTTTCATTGATGTGCGTGGGTGCGTGGGCTTAAAACAATACGACGTACCAATATGAAGATGTACTTACAGTGATTCAATGAAAAAAAATCAAGATTTTCATGAAGTACAATAGAACGCAATATTTGTTGATTTTTTTGTTCTTCCGTTTTTTTCTTTAAAAAAATGCATGCTGCGTTTTGTTTCCATTCAGCTAAAATACGATATACTTGTAATAATTACGAATTATGTTAATTTCTTATTCTCATCTTTGTGTTTTGGTACAGAATACTAATAAAATATAACTAATAATGGAGCACGACTTATTATTTAAATGTAATAAAATATCTATATAGTTACACTATAATTTTTGGAAAATTTTAAATTAAAATAACAATTTTCAACTCAATTTTCATGACAACATATTTGAAATAAAAGAGCCATAGTTCAATATTGTGTTTAGTAAAATTTAATTTAAAATGTATATCAAACATATTAAAAATTTAAAAATATATTTTACAAACAACGATAGTATTAAAATATTACAATGCCAATTATCAATAGTTATTAATTATGAAACACGAGTATATTAAAATACTTTGATATTGAATAGAATAGTGAATTTAAACTAGTGCGTTTAATCAATAAATTTCACTAAGAAATAATTGACATAATTATTGGTAATTATTTCTGTCATTCTTGTAAAAGTAAAAAAGTCATTTTAATGTATAAAACAAAGAGTTTTACTGGTATTTTCATAACTATACAAAAGTAGTACAACTAAAAAAATAGAAGGTTGGGAATTATGTCTTAAATAAAATGTTTTCTTTTAATTATAAGTATTTTCAAGTTCTGTTATTTATTTTTATTGTTATCATCTGAAACAATCAAGATATTATAATGAAAGAAATATCCTACAAATAATATTTGACCACCTACTACGCTGTAGAAATTTTACTGCAGGTACTCTAAATAGATTATCAATTGATAGTTGCTATCAATATTTAAAATAAATAAATTATACACACCATAGAATTAATAAAAATGTCTGATTGTAAAGAAAATGTTTTAACAAATATATTACTCATTTTATCAATATTTCTTATATTAATCACAAATTGTAGTATTATATTTTTTTGATATAAAACGGTATTAATATGCTAGAGTTTGGCTATGGAATCTAAATTCTAACCTTATCACTCGTTTTCTGTGTAGTCTACATTTTGTCATTATTATTATTATTTCTTAATAATAGTTTCGACAACTGTCCACTAGCTGTAGTATTTAAATATTTTTCAATTGTAATTCGAAATTAATTAGCAGAAAGCTGGAAATTGTTGGGTTATCCAATAACTAGACGAATTTTATTTTTTCTTATCTACAAAATGACGAAATTGTATCTAAAGGTGGGAACAGACTATTGTCACGTCACGTGAGCTCACGTGCTGTCACGTTGGCACATATCCGTGATATCACGCTTAGAAATAAACTATCGTCACATTATCATGTCACAATTTAGTACCAAGTCAGTAGTCACTGTGTTGTGTAGGTTGGTGTGAACTTACACAAGTTTTTTTCCTTAAGAAAAATTATAATGGAAATATTAACTTCAAGTAGTTCAGAGTGGGAAGAGGAATTAGAAACTGCAGCTGTTTTTGCAGTTTTGGACGAAGAAAATAAAAAATCCACCCGATCGTGCTGGGTACACGATATTAATAAAAAAAGGTTAAAATTGGGAGAATTCCATCGTCTAGTTCAAGAACTACGAAACGATCCAAGACGATTTCATATGTATTTCCGAATGACGAAAGAAGAATTTGATTATGTACACGACCTTATTAAAAAAGACATACAAAAACAAAGCACACAATTTCGAAAACCTATTAGTACCGAAGAAAGGTTAGCTGTTTGTTTGAGGTAAGTAATAAAAATAAAATATTTCTCGACATATAAATTATTTTATTATTTTTAAATTAATTTTAAATTATTGCAAATAAAGAATATTAATATTATTAATTACCACCAAGTATTAAGATTATGAATTATTAGTATACAATTTTAGATTATTAATTAAGCTAATATTAAATCACTCGTATTGAGAATGAGGAATGGACATCATTTGAAGTAATGTTGGTCTGGTAGGAGTCTGGTCTTGTGCTGGAAAATGTTGCTCCACTGATCTTTGATAATTTTGTTCAGTAGTTAAAGGATAATTGTTGGGCGAGTCTATAGGCGATGGCATTGCATGTAAACTACTCGTACTAAGTGCTGAAGATTGATTTGAAACTGATTGCATTGTCTGCAAGCTACTCATACTAGGTGCCGGAGAATGAGTTGAAACATATAGTTGTTGTGTAGGATAACTGGGATAAATAACTGAAGAACTTGGTTCTCGATTACACTTTATTTCAGCAGATAATACTGAGTTACTTAATGCAAGTTTAATTTGAGCCTGTTCAAATTTTGGTAATTGTTTTGTCATTCTTGACATACTCAGGAAAAACATGTCCATATCATCCAGATTTTCAAATGGGTTAGTTATTTTATGTCCTTGGCTGATACACTTTTCTTCATACTGACGTTTTCTACGAATAGAATTTTCTTTTAGAATTTCAACCAGCTGTTGTGCTGGATTGTTAGTTTTTTGTTTTTGTTTTTTTTTACGTTTTATGTCTTCGTCATATGTTTCATCTGCAGCAGCATTGCTGAATGTTGCCTCATCTTGATTATCTTCAATATTTTGTTCATTTTGCGTTTCTCTGTGTTTCTGTGCTTGTTCGGACTGTATATTTTCTTCTTCAGACCCCTCTGACAAATCATCTGGCTCACTGATCAAATTTGCAGATGTCTGAGATTCGTTTAAGTTACTATGCGTCCTTTAATTAAATAAAAAAACTTTAGGAATAAAATAAGATATAAAATAATAATTTAATAATTTAATTTTTACTTTCTGCTTTCTAAATATGGTATAATAAATGACATTTGTGGTTCGTATTTCCACACAGACTTCTTTTTGGAAGCCATGCCACTTTTTGTTTCTTCTCTACGTCTGTTCCGAGCATTGCAGAAACATCTCCTTAAATTTTCCCATTTTTGTTTAGCAATATTCCCTATAAAAAGGAAATTAACATTAAAATTTTTTTTTATTTTAGATTTTTAGCGTCAGGAAACTCCTTTAGAAGTATTGGTTTCAATTACAGAATGGGTTTCAGTACAGTTAGAGAAATAGTTAAAGAAGTTTGTGAGGCAATATGGGACAATTTAGGGCCACTTGTTATGCCAGAACCCACAGAGGAAATGTGGAAAAAAGTTGCAGAAAGATATAAAACCATGTGGCATTTTCCAAACTGTATAGGGGCTATAGACGGTAAGCACATCAATATACAGTGCCCTATTAATGCCGGATCCACGTATTACAATTACAAGGGAAGCCACTCTATTGTTCTATTAGCGATAGTAGATGCAGACTACAAGTTCATTACAATTGATGTCGGATCGTACGGAAGGAACAGTGACGGAGGAATTTTTTCTAACTCAATTATTGGTAAAAAGTTGCACAACAACACACTCAATATACCAAAACCTAATCCTTTATTAGAAAATGGAGATCCGTTACCATATGTCTTTGTCGGAGATGAAGCGTTTCCATTAAAACCGTATTTGCTGCGTCCATACAGCAGAAATAGTTTAGGAGACAATGAACCTAATAAAATATTTAATTATAGATTATCACGGGCACGACGTGTCGTTGAAAATGCTTTTGGAATTCTAGCTGCAAGATGGAGATGTTTCCGAGGTCACATTGAAGTACAACCAGAATTCGTTGATAAAATTGTTCTCGCATCTTGCTGTTTACATAATATGTTGTGCACAGACAATGAGTTTGAACCCGACTTAGAATTAAATCAAGTTCCAGAAAATGCTTTTTTAAATATAGATGCTCTACGAAGAAATAGCACTCGAGAAGCAACTCAAATTCGAGACGCATTTAAAGATTATTTCAATTCTGATGCTGGTAGTGTAGTATGGCAAGTCGATAGTGTTAGAAAAGGAAGAATACATACTTAGTTTAATTCTTACGACTAATATTTTTATTATACATTTTATATATGCATATTAATAAACGACTTTGTTTATTTATTAATTTTAATATTTAAATAAAATGAAAAGTTTTGAATATATTGTATTGTAGTTTGTATTTGAAGATTTGTATATTAGAAAAAAATACGTATAAAAATTTGTGTCTACTGATAAGTGAAAATTATTAATATTGTTAATATAAAACGTAAATATAAATATTAGTAGAACGATAACCACATAATAGTTGAATTACTAGGATGTACGAGATATCTATTTTAGTTATTTGGTTATCGCGTTTATGAGCGGACTGTGAATTTTTCCTAAATAAAAATAATCTAATAGCATAATAAATGATATTGCTATTTTTTTTTTACAAATAAAACAAATCATCTTAGTAAATTCAAAACATTGTTTTCTTTGTTTAGAATCTAAAATAATAGTTAAAATAATAATTTAATTACCTGTTATTTTAAGCTCCTTTCCGATTTCTTCCCATGCATTCTGTCTTATTTGTTGGTCCCTATAATCGGTGGAACCATGGTCATATAAAGCCTTATGTTCACGAACTTTTTCGATTAAAAGTTCATCCATTTTAACATTAATTAATTAAAGTAGATAAATAAATGAAATTTTAATTTCAATATTTTATATATATTTTTCCAAATGCGTGATGACACGTGAGTCGAAAATGTGTGTGATGTTAGAAAATAAAAACGTGCTATCACGCGTGAGCTAGGAAATGTGACGTGATACGCGTGAGGTGACATAAGTGTGGCGCTGATACATTAAAATACTGTATAAATCCATATCCCACACTTTTTTCTCGTGACGTGATAACACGTGACAGCACGTGAGCTCACGTGACGTGACAATAGTCTGTTCCCACCTTAATACACTAAAAACATGGTGAAATAATACAATATTATGCTATCTATGTTAAACATTTTTAACATTTTTAGAAGTAGTTAGCATAACAACACAAATGTAACAAAATATACTATCAATGTTGTTTATCGTAATCCGTAAAACGATTTAAAAAATTATTTTGATAAATAAAAATGGGGTTTATTATACAAGTTTATCAAACTATGGGCAGAAAATTATTAAAACACATTACGAAAAGTGTGAGTTAATCTAACTTCCACTAAGAATAGTTTATTGAGAGTAATAATTTAAAATCGTTCTTGTATTTTAAAAACATATATTCCATTATTTTTTGTCGATTTAAGCAAAATGAGATGAGTAAAGATACTCAATGTTTGCTATAATATATATATTAATATATTATATATATAAAAAAAAAATATTACGTCATTGAAAAATCAATACATTCATCGCTCTATTCAGAATCTAAAATACTTTGTTTTATTTAAAGCTACAGAAAGAAAATAATAATTATATATTTTTTTACTGTGACTCTTATTTAAATTTTAAATTGTATAATATTTTATGTATTTATTTTTTTTTTTTTATAGAGAATTAACCTATTGTTAAATATCTCAGTTAGATAACGTTTTAATATTTTTCAGTGTCCTTTTTTTTTTAATTTTAAATACAGAATTAGGATATTACAATATTTTTAATAAAGCTTATAATTTTGGAAATAATCAACGTGACGTAAGAGAGCTTAAATAATGTAATCGTATTTAAGCTTGATAATAAATAAATTTATCCTAATCTTATAGAATTCAAATTTAAAATTTAATTATCGTTTGTAAGAGAGTAGAAAAGGAATAAACAGCTATGTTGTGTCCATTCATTAGGATTCTTATGGTCTTATGTATGAGTAAGAGTAAATTTTATATATCGAAGCTTACTTGTATTTTTTTAATGAAATACATATGAAAGTGTCCGTCAGGCCCTACTTTTATGTGCATTACGACACACAATGTGCACCATGAATATACAAGTGTGCACTACGATTTGAACGTATGTGCTCTGCGGTCTATAAAATAAAAATTAAATAATATACCAGCTACTAGAAAATATGGGTATTTCCTAAATTTTTTAAACTTGAATTATACTGAATTATAATTTCTTTCTATTAATTTTCAATCATTGTTACCAATAATAAGTATTTTGTTGTTGTATTAAATCATTATATACATATATATATTCTTAATACATTTCTTTTTTCAAGATAGTAGCAAGAATTAAATTTCCGTTTAAAGCAGTAAAAATAAGCGTGCAGTCCGAAATTGTACAAATAATAGGGCCTGGTGTCCGTTATTGGAAGGTAGTCCACGAACAGTTAATGGATTGTCCGACACATATATGTTCTACGTTTATTAATTGATAAATAATAAAAGCGATTTACTCTAAAAGATTTCCGGGCACATTATTATTACACCGTTGTTCGTTAAAAATGTTTACGTGCGTGACGTATATACGATTCTTGGACAACAATAATTGCATTACTTTTCACTCAAAAACTTTTTTTTCATTCATCTGAACCTATAAGTTTTTTTTTTTAATTTTTGTTTTTTACCCTTATTTGTTTGGTTTCTTGTTTTTTTTTTTATTATTATTAATGATTTTATCTCCACTTAAATAAATTATTTTCTTCCTATTCTCAGAAAATTACTATGTGTTGGTAAAATTTATTTCGTATATCTATACGTCATATAAATGTGAAAATGGAAATCTTTGTCACACATGTTCTCTGAAACTACACGTCGGATTATCTTGATTTTTTTGTTATGAAAGAGTAAATTACTGAGTAAGCTTAATTATGATTCTAAAAGTTAATTGAAAATTGAGTTATAATTTTTTTAAATAATCGGCAAATACGCTCTTAAAGATATTTTTTATCACCCGTGTTATCAATTATTATTAGTATTTTAGTGAATAATTGATGTAGTATACAGTATAAAACATTTTTGTTATTTTTGATTCACAGTTCACACTAATGAAACTCTATGAGTTATTGGTTTTTGGTCCAAAATATAAAAGAATTACAGGAATTTAGATCTTTCAAAAAAAAAAAAAATGTTGCAGTTAAATGGTCTGAAAAAATCAACGCTTGGCGGAACAGCTGTTAAGTTGATATGTCAGAAATATCCTTCACCAAATTAGAAAACAAAAAATATATTAATCTTAATATGTTACGCTAAATGTTAAAATGTTGACACCAAATTTAACTCAGATGCATTTTTTACGGAGAAAATGTACACAGAAACAGCTAGCTTATAATACAAGTAGATTTAAGCATAATATAAAATCATACATTCATAGGAGCGTGTATAATGTGCACCATGTTATTCTCTATAGTCTATATAATATAAGATATTCGTAATTCGTATATCATGATTGTAATACAATTTTATTATTATATAATAATTTCTTATGCAATGTTTTTTTTTTTTCGTATAAACTTAAAAACGCGTGTTATTTTAAAATATTGAATGTATCGCAGTATGATAGTGTTGTTAAAAAAAAAAATTCAAATTTTATTCGAATCGTTTCATGCTAATTGTAGTCACTTAATATGAATCAAAAGTATGTATAAGCTAGTAATTGTATTATACACAAATTTTTTCTAGTTTTACACTATGTATTATTAATATTTTACAATAATCGCTTTTGTTATTTTTATAGTAATTCCATAACAATAGCATTACATTGATAGCAATAAACTTATATTGTATTTTACGATACAAGTATACAGTGGCGTGTTGACCGTGATTTTGAAGGGCAGATGCCCGATCATTTTTAAGGGGTGGGTGCTGGGTTGGTGGGTACTGGATTTAGTAAGAAATATTATTATACAAGACTACCTGACTACATCATCTGAATTCATTTGTTATTTAATAAGAATAATAACTTCAATAGTTATAATTATGCTAAGAAAAGCTATCTAATAGTATACCTACATATTATTAATTACACATTATACTACAGTGTACATTCTACGAATAAGCAATAAATTAAAATAAGAAATTATAGTATTATGCTAGTGACTATGAGGGCATCGGCATAGGCATTCCGGCATAAGCATCTTGAGAATATTATATTATTGCGATATAATCTATTTTTAGAATCATAAACTCGGAAATATCCAGGTTTCAGCCGTTTGTAAAATAAAGTAATTTATATTGATTTAATAAAGGTACTTTTTTGTTGTATATAGTATGGCACATGGGTCATGGGTAGCGGGTACTGTGTAAGAATTAAGGGGTGGTAGGTTATTCAAAAAATGAATTGCCCGATAAAATATTTCACTTCGCCACGCCACTGCAAGTATACCATAGTTTTTATTTTTGTTAAATTTGAAAATTATTTAGTTATTATTTTTATTATTGTTAAATCCCATTCTGTACAGCTTAACATTTTTTTAATAATATTAAACACTAATCGGTCTCATATCTTAATAATACCAGTAATTTTATTACCCAACACTCTTATTATAAGGCGTGTCTACAAATAATTTTATACGTTTGACATTTTAGCGTCTCGAATTCTGTTAACAAAATGCATTTGTTATGACAGCAAAATAACAACGATTCGACAAGACAGCAATGTTAATGATAAAAATGTTACCATTTATTTCTCTAAATATTAAAATCAAAATATTTCAACCTACATAGTTACCCAAACAATAGGATTCTTAATTTAATGGGATAAAATATGTTTGTACCAACAATTCGTTGTGTATGCGACGGACTATACGGGTTATGATTAATGCGTGTATCACATAATGTGACTTAATGCCAAGTATAATTGAACTGTTAAAAAGAGAAAAGTATTTGCTTTTTATATAGATAGGCTAAAATCACGATAAGCAAATTATCACCTATAGGCAACGGTAATGTAAAATTAGTGCTTTGATAAATCATAATAACTAAATTTATAAAAACAATACATGAAATAGTAAAGCAAATAAAGATTTGAAAAATAATATATTATTCTATTAATATACCATTTTTTTTTCTATAGTACCATATGGTCTACGGATATTCTGGCTCTAATTATTATATTATTGACTATAATATTATTTAATAATA